CGCACGTGGCGCGCGTGTGCATCACGTGCCTCCATCATCCAGCGTTACAGCGCTTAATCATCAAATTTGCGAGGACTCGCGAATTAGATGACGACCACTTTATACCCACGGTATCGTTCTAAACGTACAATTAATGTACCATTAACCCTCGCACGCTTTTCGACTCGAGGGAAGTTTCATCTGCCTACGCTTTACAAATGCCAAAATATTTACACGTATATATATATGACGGACACTTGTATTACGATGACGAAGTTGTATCTATTTCGAGCTCTGACAAAAAGAAACAAGAGAAGATCTACTTTATATGATTTAAAAAAATATAATAAGAATCTTATATTTAAGCAATATTTCTTCAAAATTAAAATAGTGAGTGTTCTTATTCATAAAAATATATAAAAATTATAAAAATGTAGAGTGATAAAAGAATTTATTAGTTCCTTACTCGACTAATAATAATATATTAAAATTAACATTAAAAATATTAATGCCTGGTAAAATATATATTAGTAATTTCTTGTCATATTGAAATAAATCGAACACCGCCATGCATCAATTATTTCTCCCGTTAATTAAACAACGGTAATTTGCGATTAATTAGCGATATCGTAAATATTTTTGTTTGTCATCATCGATCATAAAGTTGATGCTCGCTTTCCTTTCTTTTAGATTAACGAGCAACCGAATTTGCATTAACGTGCACGTGACTGACAATGACGCAAACGGTATGTTGATAACGCAACTTTATCGTTAATACTAATATCGATATATGTATAATAATTCTTCGGCGATTTGATATGTCGAATTACACGCGACTTGAGTAAATATTGAATGAACGTTCCAACCGTGCACGTTGCTCGCAAGGGAAGAGAAATACAAACTCGATCGAGTAAAGAAATTTGATTAATGAAAAATCAATATAATTATTTGTGCGATATATTTTTAATGTGGAACTTATGTGGAACTTTTCACGTCATTATTACAAAATTATTCTTCAACAATAGTTGTCTTCCAGAAAACAAATTATTTCTATAGAGAATGCATCTTTTGTTTCGTATCAATCATTCTTCCCGGCTTCTCAATTAGACACGCAGGTGCGCGATTCGCGCGTCTGCGCTGAATTCGATAATCTCATATGATTGCGCAAGGCGAGTGTCAAAATTCGTGAATAATAACACAACACTCGTTACATGTAGAGTAGCGTCTCTTCCTTTCAAATGCCAGACAGCGTGTGACCATCACGTGGCACCCGGAAAGCGCAGCTGCCGCACTTCGCGTTGAGAGACCGGAGGTTAAGCGACAATTGAACTGCGGTAGGCGGCTTGCTTTAATAGGACAGATAACCGATATAAAGTAGTCCTGATGAAGGACATGCGCGACTACTATTCCTACATAAATCAAAAGTGCATTGACATTTCTTAACATTCCACCGTCTGTTCTCACGTTCCCTTATTTCATCGAGATCGACGAATATTAGGTCCATAAATTCGCGAGAATTATTAGTAAAATAAAGATTAAAGATAGTTAGTAGATATTAAAGATAGTTTTACAATATTTAAATATGTCTATTATTACACTAGTTTTGTAAAATAATTTTTAGGAAATACAAGACTTTCCCCAATTTTTTAACATTATTTCTAAAGTAAATATCTATTTGTAATTAAGTAAAAAAAAACTGAATTAAAAATATAAATATTCATAAAAAAAGTAACCAATGAATTATATAATCAGAAATAATGTGCATCATTAAACGTAAGTATTTTATTAATATGACGCAATTCAGTACGCTAAAATTGTCGACAGCAAGCGTATGTTTTTGCGTGAAATGCGGCTGATAAAGTAATAAATAATTTTTAAAAGAAATTTTCGTAAAAACATTATGGCATCATGCGTGAAAATGTTGAGTTATTGTAAAAACTGATATAAATGTATATCTATTCTTTAATCCTTCTAAGTAATTTATATAATCATCAAATTATCAAATTACTTTTTAGCTGTCACAAGTTTTTATCTGATAAAAACAAAAACACCGACTCTAAACTCAGTATTTATATTAAATTTGAAACACAACTAAAATTTTGCACAAGAGACACAAAATCGTGAATATTTTTTGCTCCTTTTTAAACGTTTTTAAACATTAATAGCGTTTTTATATTAAATGCATGCAAATTTGCGCAATGTTATTGATACAGCTGTTAAAGATAACCGCGAGTTTTCTTAAGATATCATTAAAATCTGATTAAGTTAATCTTAAGCTCTTCTTATAAGCTCGACTAACTTGTGAGATTGCAATCTTACACAATATTGCGACGCGTGCAGTGTTCTCATAAGCTTGATTGTATTTACTTAGAATAGCTCTGATATCTGATTTTTTCAATGCGCAGTTTTCACGTTAACCACTTGTGTTTAACGCTGCACAATGTCGTGCAAGTTTATTTTATCAATCGTACTGTAAATTTTATCATTTAATTATATTAATGAAAACTGTAATTATTTATTGAATTGATCTGAAGAAATCTTACGCTATGTAAATGTTACGTTTTTCACTACTGCTATTTCTATTCATTTTAAAATTAAAATCATATAATCAACTTCATTTTTCGTTACTGCTGCAAAATTTCAATATTACGTATTTAATTTATAAAACTTTTTGCATAGATAAAAAATAAGACAAATGAGAAATAAGTAAAACAATAGATCTTTAATTTATGCGCGTGACATGTATGTGACATGCATTTAAAAAAATTAAAGATGATAGCAAATATTTCACACAATGTGCCTCAACACAATTGAATGCAGCGCTCACATGAGCATACTAAATGACAGTGTCATTTACCGACAGTAACATTTACCGGCAATGTCATTTACCAGCAATCAGCAGAGTAGAAAGATAGTAGATTATAATACATGCAGATGGCAATATAAACACGAGTCGATAAGAGGGCAATAAACATCGTGATGATAACTCTTATGCATAAATGATTTCTACTTTATCTACAGTATGCACAAAGAAAAAGTGCTTTATCATATGCTTTATCATATTACAATGAATCAAGACAATTCAGGTGTGTACATTGTGTGTGGATATTTATGATTCTTTAGAGAGAGTTCAGAAATATCATGAAATATTCAAACATTTTGTATATCAAACTGTTTGAACAATTCAAAGTAGAAAAATGAGCGTCAAATTCGATACATTTTGGACAATTTGAGATAACCAGTGACCGACTTATAATGTCTAAAGGTTTACAAAGTTCTGACAGCGAGAAAAATTAAAACAAAAATATTATATATTGGAAATAGAAAACTTTATTTTATGCAGATATCAGTATCACATTGTCATATTGATGTTTTTCATACTGCACATTTGATAAAATTGATTTGCAAAATGTTAAATTATCAGATCTGAAGTTTTTCAGCTCAAAAAGTTCAAACTATTTAATATTCAATCTTAAAAACTATTCTAATTGCTGACCACTTAAAATTTCTGAGAACTAGTTGTCAAAATTGTGCATATTAAATGATGAGTTATAAATATAAAATTAAAATATCAAATATATAGCTCATATAATAAATTTATCAATAAAAATGTAATTTTAAATAATGATAAAACATTCTTACTGCCAAATGTAGAATAAACTTCGAACGTATATGAGAAATTCATTTTTCAGAATCGATGTTCATCAAGCATGGAGAAGACATGAAATACTCCATAATACATATTAGAGAAACTAGCTGTTTTCCGAGCGTTCAAGTATAGAATCAATATTAGTTAACAGAATACTAAGGCATCCTTGGAAAAATTTCACCGTGTTATGCCGTGAATCATGTGTTTGACTTTAATATCAAGTTCTTTAACATATGTTAATATTAAATCCCGTCCATATGTTTATGTGAAAACTGTTTTCATTATCTTCAACAAAAATCTAAGAAATATCAATTCCTAGATTCGACGTGACTCATTATGTGGAGCGACAACGTGAAATCTCATAATGAATGTGAGGGCATGCGCGCGTGTAGCGTGTGCACGCGCGGCAATTACTATGCAAGTGGCTCTGCCACGATAATGTAAACTATACTTCCAGTCAATCTTTTTTTTTATTTACGCGAGAGTCAATAATCATTCGCGTTCGCGTATTCTCGGAACGAGCTATCTTCGCACTGCGAGCGCTAATTAATCACTCACTGTCGTATGTTAATAACAGAATTTCTTAAAACACATTTGCGTTCGCTGCTGAAACATCAATGATACTTAAATACATTGCAGTTATTTTTATATCCAGTAAGCGATTGACAGATTAACAGCAAATTTGATGTCAATCTGCTAATATTGTTAATATTTGACTAACAAAGTAGTATTTACTCGAGCATTAAGGCAAGATGTAGTAAACAACTGAAAAAAATTGTAACCTGACTGGCGAATTCGGCAACTGAGTGCATCAGTCGAGTTGCGCTTGTTAATATTCTAGCATCAATCTCGCCGCTCACTCGAAAACTGGACCAGTCGACCCTGGACCAAATCTCGACGAACATGGCTGATGAAATGTCTTCTCATTTTCGATTTTAGTACAATGTTATGATTTTTCTTCCCTTTTTTTTCTCGCTTTTTCCTTTATTATTATTTACTTATATCTTTATAATCCGTGAATTTATGAATCGAAAGATAAAATATAGCTTGTTATAAAAAATAACATTTCAAAGAATTGCGCAGCTGTTCGCACTGCTTGCACGTCGTTAGGCCAGAAATTTGCAATAGCTTTATCTATTTTATCTGCGAGGCACGCAAGCGATGATGATAGTTTAAGAATTTACAATTATCAATTATCAGTTTCTATTTCTCAGTTCACTGAATCAAGCGTCATTGGAATGCGATACGATTGAAGGGGATAACAGTTTTAAAAAAAAAATTTGTCTTACAAGTTAACGACTGAACATTTGTCTTAAGAATTGGCGTAAAAATCATTAAAAAAAAAAAAGAAATGCACTCAAACATTACTCACCGGTATCGTTTTCGTGTCCTTGGGGTCCATCTCCCACATCTTCAGTGGCTGTGGAAAGTGCTGCAACAGATAAGAAAAGAACAGAGTGAGATCAGTATGCGACCGCCGTTTTATATTAGGGGACAGAGCAGGAACGGGGGGGGGAGGGAAACGCGCGATTATTAATGCAGGTCGCGTCGTAAAGTTATGTGCCCTCGAGGCGATCACGACCTTCCACGATGACGGACGGACATTAAACTATAAGCATTAACTGTGGCCGGCCCCACGACAATTAACCCTTTGACTGTCGGAATTATTTACGCGACCTCTCCGACTGGGCTGAGGTGAAAGGATGAATGTGAAATTAATTCCTTCGTAAAAAATTTAGCTATCATTGTGACGATTTTTAAATGACAGATTGATGTCACATGCGTGAGCACAAGTTAGAAAAAAAAAGACGCGAGCGAAGATTTTTAAAATACGTGACTCGAAGAAACTAGGCTTAGTTTCTTTTTCTATAATTAATTCTTCTTTCGCGAATAGACGGAGCTCTTACGTGACTGTATAAGATTGTATAATGCTTCTATACTTTGCTCTTGTGATATAAAAAATATTTATGACACTGAAACTAACAGAAATAATTTCATTTATTATTCTCTATGATGGAAAATGTGTCACATTATCATCGCATCGATTGCCGCATTACTTCTGCGATTTAGGTCTGGCTAGATTTGTCTACGCTCAGATAGAATTTACCGTCACCTCTTTGACAATACTGATATTTGTATACCTGACACGACGCGACGCGACGCAATCGCCGCCGAGAAAACACACAGCAAGGGGAGGAACGATGTCGCGCGCAAACGATGCGATATATCACGCGCCGTAACGAATTAGTGACGCGAGCAATTATTTACTCAATTATAAAGCATGCTGTTTATTGTTGATTATTATTTTTCATATAGACAATACAGGAGGGTGCAAACTCGGCATACTCGCTTTATCACGCGCTGATTAGAGAACACGCGTTCGCTCGGCGACCTATTAAGCCGACAACTTGTTCGAAGACAACCTACATGTAAGCGATATCTCTCGGGAGATAAGTTTTCTCAAGTGCTTAGAGAAGAAAAATCGATTATTCGAGGAAACAATCATGAGTTCCTCGAACGATTTATGAAATTTTATGCACTTGTGCACAGAGCAATTTATCGTTTCACGGAATAGATGCGAGATCCCCTCGTGCATTGAGCGATGTGTATTATTTATCTTGACCTACGCGCTGGGTGGAAAGCGCGTTAAAATCGCGACTATAGCTCGGAAGAAAGTCAGTGTTAAACGTCCAACTCTCACTATGATATAACGAGAACGAGACACACGCGGTGCATCCGCCAAGTGGTATACTAAAGGTGCTCGTTAAACGCACCCCGTTGTTTGCGTCAGTTGATCACAATGCCCGGCCGAAACCGCGGCTTCCTGAGAATTGCCGGAAACTGTCGCGTGCGATTGCACCTGACGATGCTCGGACGTGCACGTGATTGTCGTGAGTGTGAAATCAAGTGCGTCAATAAATCGCGCGCGCTAATCAGCGTTAATAAGCCGTATCCGAATTTGAAACGCGGATATGGTCCGCGTACGTGACGGCATTTCAAATGATAAAATTATTACTCCGCGCGTTATGTATAGAATATTGATAACTCGAGTCTGCGTCAATTTCGTCTGTGTTACAATGAACTTCCTCATGAATGACGCCTTTTTAAAAGTTCCGAAACAGAATCTCATTTGAATAATTTGAATAATTTAATGGAAAATGAACTGCGAGATAATTACATGCGACAGATGCAATATATAATGCGAATGGTCAATTTGCTTTGCGATATTTTGTTAATGAATGAAAGCATAGTTTCCATTGTTTAGCAATCATTGCGTGAAATGTTATAAATCATAAAAATCTATCCACTAAATTCCTCTGTTAGCATTTGTACAGTCACATCTAATTTTAAGTTGATTATCAGTGTTTGACGGACTTTTTTTTTACATCTTTCGTCGAATCTCTTACAAACTACTCGACGACTCGTTTGCGTCACGATTTCACCACGTTTAAAACAGCACTTAATCATTTTAGCTTATTGCTTCTCGTGATAAAGTGCACTACACAAGATATTATCACTGCTATAATTTATACGATTATATGTTTGATGCTAATGTGAAATATCAACATTTATTAAAGTAAACAAAAATTTTAAAGTGTCACTAATTATCAGTGAATAAAAATTAATAAAAATTAGTCTCTAGTTATTTTTCAGACACTGTGTATGATTAAAATAAACTTTATTCGAATAGAATCTGAATTTATAAAAATCAGGTATAAAGCTATTCTGATTGTTATTATTCTGATTACTAAAAATTTCAAATACAGTGTTTAATTAGATGTTAGAAAAAAAAAAACTATGTCAGTTGCAATATTTTATGGATGCGCGAAATGAATGTGTCGCAAGTAGCCAACTACATTATAACGTTTGCAAATACTTAAAGGCCGCTTAAAACCACAGTGTCTTTGTTAATTGCTGTTGTCCACTTGGGCTTTTTCTGTTTCTTTTTTTTTCTTGTTCTCGTATGTAGCAACTACTTTTGTCTGTTCTTTATAATGTATTCGGACCGAGCAATAATAATACTTGGAGACCACTAATTAGTGGCAAAAGTATGTCATGCAATTCAATTTTTTTTTTTTATTTGATTTAAAAATGTATGCAAAGTATCACTAATATTTACGTATATGCACATTTGAGCTTTTAAATTATTACGTGCATATTTAGCTATTTTCACATTAAGATATGTAAATATGTTCTTGTTATTCAAACTTTTAAATATGTCATTTTTTTTTGGAGATTTTTTTTAGACATTTTTTTTTAGAGATATGTACATACTTAATGTTTGGACAATGGGATATTTTGACAATGGAAGTTTGGAGTTTTTGTATAAAAGAATACTTAAACATATATTTAAGCAACAAGACAGTGGAATATTTCTCTCTTAAACATTTATCAGACGAATTGTTTAATAAAGATAAATTCTTAATAAATTCCTAAAATCAACTATCTCTAGCTCATAAAGGCAGTATTAATTCGCGCCACTTTATCTTGATGTGCGATGCGTACGTTAAAAGCTATTTTAAAGACTTTCTATAATTCCGAGATCGCCTCTCACTGCGTTTCTTGCATTCGCGTGGCGTCGCTCTTACAGCTCCATTTATAAATGTAAACAACGTTGACGTTCAGCCGCGCGTGCGAAAATTGTCTACAAGCCCGTCGAAAGGATAAAAATGCAAATTTGCATCTTGTCTTGCAGATTGAACAGTTGATGGCGTTTAATGTTAATTTAAAATCAATATGTTATTTTAAAATTCTTTTCTATATTTTTTAAATAAGTCACGTCGGACTTCCAAATAAATACTTCGAAATTTACAAGTTAAACTGTTGTGTACACAAATAATAAAGAGTTTGTTTTATTATTATACAAAAATGCAAATTATTTGAAACATTACCAGCAATGGAAATATTTTTTTTTGCAATAAAATTAATCATTTCTCGTTATCAATTTTTGAAATTAATATAATAATATGAATGATACAAGTATTTTCTTATGCGTATTTTCTGCGTGTATTTTCAGATGGAATCGATCATTCAAATAACACGTCTTGCACTATCTTTTTGAAATTGCCAATGCACGAGAGTCGTTTAAATAGATCGCAGACTTGTGTTTGTGTGTGCGTGTGTGTGTGTGCGCGCTCTTGGCAATTTCTAGAATAATAATCGCGCTTGCAACATCAATAACTTTCCATTGATTTTAATTTAAAAAAATTTCAGGGTGCGTATCTTAATTCTCAATCACTGTAATTGAATTTGGATATTGGCAATCCTTGGCTGTAATTAAATTAGCGATTGGCGATCCTTGACTATAATAATAACCCACATAACAAAGCATTTCAATTATACCAAGGATAAAAAGATTTTCATTAACAAGTCACAAGATATCATTAAGCGCGACTACTCAGCGTGCTTACATATTCATGTTAAACATCGAAGTATTTCGCAATGACTTCCGAACAATTTGATCCGAATTTAAAAGAAACATTTCGCATCACCGTCACGTAATCGACACATTGTTCTGGATTCCTATAGAAATCTGGTGCACACGATCTGATAACATTATGCGCAAGATTTTTAGATCGCGATTGACAATCAGGGTGATTAATCGCTTTGCGATTTTGTACATCCACTAGACGATCGATAATTTATAAAGTATAAAAAAATAATTAATAAATAAAATGTAAAAAGATAAGAAAGAAAAAACTAAGGAAAAAAGAGAGACAGAGTTTCGCAATTCTCGGAGAAGGTATAAATGCAAAATTACATATGCAACAGCTGCAAGTCCTTGAGTTACATTCTCAGGATTCTCGCCAGGATTTGTTTTTTCACAGAAGAAATCTATTTCAGATCAATAATATCCGAGTGTTTAAAAACTTATGCAAAAATTATATATTCGCAGTTAAATATGAAAGAATGAAATTAAATTGCCATATCTGTCTGTCCTTTTTTTTTTGTTACTTGTATTCTCTATAAGGCAAAATTATGAATAAATTTCGCAATAATTATTAAACAAAATACTTGAATTGCACTTTTTAACGCGCACACAATAATAGGCAAATGAAAAAAAATTACACGTCGAATTGTGTAGAATTCGTTAAAAAGGTTAAACACAGGGGCGCTGCCCACGCTTTGATTAGAAGCCAACGCCCTTCCTGTCAAATCTGCGCAAACGTTCTTGAAATTTTCCTTGAGAGTCAAAATCACGGCGTGTAATCTAGCGAACGATTTCTGCACTTACTCATGTTTGCTGCAAGCGGCACATTCCTTTCCCCCTTTGTGTTAATTATTTTCATAATAGAAAATTATTAAATCACACTCGACGAACAAAATTCGAGCGATCTACGCAAGTTCTTTTGTGAAAAAATGTGGAACAAAACTTTGCCCAACTTTCCTCTTCGAGCACCACGTACGTTATGAAGATACCTACGTGTCCTAACAGGACGTAGGTTTTAACGCCACCTTTTTCTAAAAGTTCTAATTATTTGCTAGTCCTGTAGGTAGCATTAGGTTAGTTTTACCCTTCTATTTGTCCCTCGGCATGTCGTAATATCGTCGCCATTATGAAGCCGTGGACGACTAAGCGACTTACGACCGATATCCACGATGCTAGAAATCGGTCCGAGATTTCGATCCGAGAAACATACAGTCAATAAAATTGCCGTTTTTACATAAAAAAAGGCAAGTTGATTGGTTCCATTTCTTGGATCGAGATCTCGGACCGATTTTTAGCATCGTGGACATTGGTCTTTACAGACGTAATTCAGTATTACATTTTATTAAGCCCCCTTCTTATATCATTTTAATATACGTTAGTTTCATGCAAATTAAATGTAAAATTTTTTTATTTATATGAAGCTAACGGCGATTCCTCAAATTTTATATTGATGCCACTTATATTTTATTCCGAGAATTTTTTAAATAATTTACGTATTACGAATTCTAAAAAAATTTTTGATGAAAATTGTTCGAAAGGGGCTGAAAATAGAGAAAGGGGAGCGTGCTCGAGATGACGAAAGTTCTGGCTTGTTGGCCGGATGCGGGCAATAAAGAGAGGCTCGCCTTGAGGAAACGCGTAACTCACGCCTCGATTCATTGAGGACATCTCAGCGGCACGATCGAGACGATCCTTGAACCGATCACCGCATTTCGATTCAAGAACATTGCCGCGTTCGATCACATCACGCGAAATTTGTACAAATAATACAAATAGACGATTCTGCACTTTTCTAGCCCTGGCATAAAAAAATGATAATTGTGAAATGATAATTTCATCAAAAGTTCTTTTAAAATGTTTACAATTCGTAATACGTATATCGTTTAAAAAATTCTTGAAATAAAGTACAAATAACATCAATATAAAATTTGAGGAATCGCCGTTAGTTTCATATAAATTAAAAAATGACAAAAGTACCGAGTATTCGTCGAGTATAAAATGTTCGCGACAAGCTGTTTTACGAGCAATAAAAACGTGACAGCATTGAAATGTGCGTCAGACATAATCATATATTGTATTTCAAAATGCTTTTAACATATTTTCATTATATCTTTTCTAATACGGTATATAATCGTTACGTGTTGGTAAATCATCTTCGTATAATGAGAAATATGCTGGTAATTTCGCGGCGCTTTTGTCTAGAAAATTAGAATTTAACATTCTATCTCTGTGGTGAAAAGCGACATTGTCCACGGACTTGATTGCTCACTATACTAAGAAATGTGTCTGAAAGCTCTCTACTAAGGCAGGCTTTTTATTTCTGCTGTGAATAAGCATTTACAAAATATCCAACTTTCAAATCGTGTACAGAATGCTTCAGATTAATTGTCCATTAACGGATTTTTGAGATCATTTGGAGACAAAAATTTTTATATCAAAAGTCGAGACTACAATAATTTTGAAATGGGAAATGTTTAAAGTTGACTAATCAGATTGTCAAAAATTGACGCGCTCAATTGCGTCGCATATCGATTTTTAATCTCAGAAATCTGCTATTAACGATTAGTCTGTCAGACACCTTGTATATTTTTTTCAATTTATTCTCTTAATAATATTAAAATAAAACAAATTCGATTGACTTACCGGCACGATACGCAGCAGCGGAGTTGTTCACAAGTTGATCTATAATAAACAAAGTACATCCAAATTATAACAGCTTCTTTAAAATAATTATTTAAATAATAATTATTACGCACATTAAACTTTGACTCATTTCTCTCTTTTTTATGCAAATATCTCATAGAAAATTATATATTTAAATCTAATTACTATAAATATTAAAAGTTACAAATTTTTTACTGAATACTCCAAAATTTTTATGTACATTACATTATATAATATTATACGTGCAGTATTTTGCAAATAACAAATAAAAAATAAATAATGATTTACTCTAAAGTTGCCGGCGCCCGATGCCCTTCCTAAGTCCCTCTCTTTCTCTCAGTTCTCCATGCAGTTCTTGAAAGCACTCACACATATTCGCGACACAAATAATCGCACGATGTTTTAAACGGCATACGCGTACTTTGTCGTTTGAACAAAGCAAAACTCGTACATTATTGCACGAGTTACACATTCGACACTGCCGCGTCTGTAATAAGTAACGACGGAAATCCTCATTATTTTTCGTAGTTTTTGATCTCATACTTTTCGTCGTTAATTATTACGGATGCGGCAGTGCCGAACGTGTAAGTAATCCGTGCGAGTTTTGTCCTATGACAAAGTACGCGTCGGTGGTATCATTATATTTTGCGATTTTTGTATTCACATCGCAAACGCGTGTGAGTGCCTTGAAGAACTGCAAGAAAAGGAGAAGACTCAGGAAGAGCATTGGGCACCGGCGGAGCAGTTTTAGGGCAAGTAATCATTTATTTGTTGTTTGCAAAATATTGCACATAAAATATTATATAATATGATGCACATAGAAACTTTGATATAATATTTATAATTATTAGATGTAAATATATAATTTTTTATTAAATATTTGCATAAAAGATGAGTAAAAGTTTAATGTGCGTAATAATTATTTCTCAAATAATTATTTTAAACGCTGCTATAATTTAAATGTACTTTGTATGTTACAGATCAACTTGTGAACTCCGTTGCAGCACATCGTTCCGATAAGTCAATCCAATTTATCTTATTTTAATATCATTAAAGGAACAGATTAAAAAAAATGTAAAATATACAAGAAATCTCACAGTTTTACTTATCATCCATTAATACCAGATTTTTGAGATTATTCATATGATAAAGACATAAAAATCAATATGCAATGTGCCTGAGCGTGTAAATTTTTGATAATTTAATTTTTCAACTTTAAACACGTTCGTAAAAATTATTATAGTCTCGACTTTAGATATAAAAATTGTCGTCTTCTAATGACTTCAGATATCTGCTAATGAATGATATGGTTGTTCTGATATGATAAATGGCATTTCAAATATTTAATAGTAAATATTAGGCAATTTATACGATATGCAATACGAAATAATATATTTGAAGAAGCTACATTTGTAGATGTCTCATACAGAGTTTCTAATGAATCTGAAAAAAATCAATGATCGATAATTCTTTACGATAATGACAGCTCTATAAACCAGTCCGGCGAACATTCTAGAAAACGTAGGTAGACTATATCGAAGGCAGTAATAAAGTCAATCATACTTAACGAGATAACATCGCGATCATTCAATTGAGAATCTCAATTGGCAGCACACGCACGTACATTCATTGTCGGTATTGTGTAAGAGTTGATATCCAAAAGGGCGCGTAACGCGTCGTCGCGTTTACAGAATTTCGCGCTGCTCTATAATTAAACTATGCTTTATAATTATAAGCTGACCTTTTTTTAAACCCGATTCGCCGGAATAGGAATTTGTTTACAGCACTATTTAGACTTTCTCTATATTCGGTTTTCCTGTGGTTTTTGCGGTCGTTCGTGGAAAATATACCAACGTACGTGGAAAAAGATGAAAAGATATTTATAAAAATAAATCTTGACAATTAATAAAAAAATTAGAAAAATTTTATTTTATTTTTTTCAAAAAATAGAAAAAACTAATTTCTTTATCAATTAAATTAAAAATTTATCTTGATTTACCGTTTGCAATAACTTTGTATTCAATGTTACGTATGCATGTACGCATTTGAATAACAATTGAGATTTGATTTATTCCAATGTTCTCCATTTTAAATTTGATTAAAATGACAGGAAAGCGGCAATTTAAAGAAATTGATAGGGACACCTCGTACGGCGATATAGTAAGACAAAAGAAAATGACATAGGAACAAAAGAAATGCAAGCTATTGCAAAACTGCGGCCGAGAAAGTGCTTTCTTACCGATATTCCACGCACGCGTCGCGCGTCGCGACGCACGGAATCAAGACAAGTCGCGTGTGTACGTACCGACTTCGGCATGTTGCACGGAAAATTCCAACATGGTCCACTGAAAACTATTGGTGATTAATGACGACAGCTATTTATCTCGACGAACGTCGAGATATGGTACGAATTTCGCAGAGGCTCGGTCGATCAATCGATACTTTAAACACCCGCGCTTTTAAACATTCCAGTCTCCGACGAAGCAAAACTACGACGTGAGGTTTCGAATTTTAAGACCAATATAGTCGGCGTTAAGCGTATATACTGGATAGGTTTGAGACTTCATAAAAAGATTCGGAAGTTTAACGATAATGGAAAGATGTAAAAAGGAGAACTTCGAGATTCAAGGTTCAAAGAATTTCAGAAAAATTAGACCGCGCGCGGATTCGAGACCAATTCGAACGAAATTTCACGGTATCTTCGAAAAGTTTGAAAATTTAGCACCTGCTAGAGAAATTTGCTGAAATCCAAGGAAATGACAAGTCGAGAATTTGAGACTGTCAAATGCCAAGTAGAATTAATTTGAAAATACGCGAAATCGACGGACAGGAGAAATTAAAGGGAAAGAGAGAAGTTTAAGAGGCTACGGAGACAAGAATTGGAAAACGGTGTGAGAAAATCTGAGAATGTACAGATGTAAACGAGCCGAATCATCGAAGCTCTACGGAAACTTTTCCGATCGATCTGCGAAATCGTCGATCAATCATCACGTCGCACTTGGATCACAATTCATCGTCGTGGAGGGTGCGTTTCTCGTCATCAACGCACTCTTCCTGCGGTCTACCAGATGCGAGAACACCGTCGGCGAAGCTGCGAGCGACAGACGGTCGTCGCGACATGAGCGATTACGGCTACGGGCGCAGCAGCGTGCGGCAGCTGCGGGTCTCTGATCTGCGTGACACGCGAAACGGCGAGATCGATGACGGCTTACATTCCTCTCGGCGTAATTTCGCTCGTTCGCGCGCGTACGAAAAATGACGGCGCACACCGTCGAGCGCCGGGCACTTCTGACACTCCGACGAATCGCGGAAACACGCACACGAGGGAAGAACGCGCTCCGGTAGAAAGCGTTCGAGGCGTACTAAATAGACACTCCAACGTCGCGACGCTGAGCCGAGCCGAGCCGAGCCGAGCCGCGCAGATTCGCGCGCACAAGCCGATCCCACAAACGTCGTCGCACAAGTATCGGAACGTCGATACGCGCCTCCCGAAGTAACGGGCCGCGTGAGTCGATTGCCAAAGAGGACGAAGAGAGAGAGAAAGAGAGAGAGGGGGAGAGAGAGAGAGAAAAGAAAGAAAAAAAGAGAAAGGCTACGCGAGGACGGGAGGGGACAGATAGACTTTTCACCTTCGACGAGCACAAGTGACCGCACGAGTGGAGCGAACTACGAAAAGATCTCGAGATGAGAAATCTAGCCGAGAGTGAATAATCGCCTTACTGTTAATTGATGCTGATTCGTGTTTTTTTTTTTTTTTTTTTTGACGAAAGGAAAACTAGAGACTCATTCAAGCCAAATGTATCGTACATCGCGATTATTCTGTTGTGACAGAACTGAATCATATTTCGGATGTCTTACATAACGATAATTTACAACATATGTAAAATAACAGCTGCTATTGTGTAAGCATATGTGCGTTCCATGTTCCAAAACTTAATCGACCAATTTTCGAATTAATTGGAATATCGAAATACAAAAATTGAGAGCGATACGTGCCAGCTGTTTCAACACTTCGAATTATTCGATAATTATTGTCGCCGGTGAAATTATACGGGAATAAAGACGAGTGCAGTGGAATGACAGTGGAAAAATAATGGAAGTTTACAAAATTCTGTTGTCGATGGAAACTCGGAAATTGAAGAGAACAGTTGTTTACAAAAATTCCATCCACATGATTAATGTAATCCGCAAGATAAAGACTTGAAAACAGCGCACTACTGCCACCCGCGAAGGACTTCCGATAATAATTATTTGCGTTCTTCCGATAATGATTATTTTGCGCTCTTAATTTCAATTAAACCAATGCTTTCTTCGATAATTATCAATCCACTGACCGACACATTAAAGACGATTGACAGATATTCATAAAATAATATGAGAGATAAGAGATGAAAGATTGCTAAAAATATTTTAAGAGACAGACAAATCTAGAATGATTAAATACAAATAATATATTTCAAGATTTTGCAAAGTTTTTATCTGTTGTAGAGATATCTGAAAAAATAATCAGGATTTTCTTTTAATCTCTGAGAAATTTCACAAATTTCGAAAAGTATCTAAGAAATTTTTATAAAGTTTGCACAGAAAATTCAAGTTAAAGAAAATAATAAATTCAAGTTAAAGAAAATAAAAACAAAAAATAACGACAATAGAAATACTCGATAAGAAATAAACAAATAACAGAAAAATTATCGCAAAATGTTTTAAAAATATTTTCAGAATGATTAAGAATAAGAACTCTTTCTTCGAAAGAATCCAATATTGCCTGGAAATCCCGCAGTTCAACTTGTGATAATAATCGTTCATTTGTCGCGTTATCATCAAATAATTCCTACGTATGTTGACATGATTGATAATCAATTATTCTACCGAGTGCAATCGTATCGGTGACATGTTAGCTTTCGTCTGAACGGACCTGTAATGTTTGTAACCGAAGCGTGATGAATGCCAAACGGAAGCAGAAAGACAGACTCGTCCGTTATGACTGATTAGCATAATAAGTGAGTGTCTCTATTGCG